ATTAGATTCTCATAGGAGTACAAACCGTATTGTCAACTGTGCATAAGAGGGACCTAGGTCACGGGCTCCTTATGATACTCTAACGCCCGATTTGAAGTGGAAGAGTTTCATCCTGAAACCATCTCCCCGACAGCATACCCCACACATCTGTGGAAAAATTGTCTCCCATGAGCACTGGTCCCTGGTGCCAAAAAGGCTGGGGACTGCTGGGGTACAGAATCCTGACTTGGTAGACCCACGTGGTCAGTGACTGAAAGGACGTCTCTTCAGATCAGATTTCAGAATCTGATCTGGCCTGTGGAAATCAAAGACGGCTTGGCTCATCCTGGTCAGGAGAATATGCAACCTATGGATTCATTATGTCTTTTGGATAATATTGCTAGGTTCACAAGTATTCATAAAGATCTCAAAATGCTTTATAAACAGGGTATTACCAGTGGTAAGACCACAAGTCATATTTATAGGGAAAAAAAAGTTTGGAACGGGATCTTATTTTGTCCTCTAGCTCAGAGTGCTTTCTATTGCCATTTTCCTTTTCACCAACCTCTCCAAAACCCTTAATGCATATTTATGGGGCACCCTCTTTCATGTGTATTTAAGTGCCCACTGTTGATAAAATCAAGAATAGAGTTCTGGATCCGAATCTAAGCAGCTTTGGTTTGAAACCTAGCCCTATCACCTAGTAGCTACATAACTTGCTGTGCTGCAAAATATACAATGGAGTTGACCAACAGAATTTCTCATTGGGTTGTGAGATTTAAATGAGTTATTAAAGTTTCTAGAAGATATTAAGAGCTAATAAATGTTAGTCCTGATCATTATCGTTATGTGCTAGGTTAGGTGTTGTGAATGCAAAGAAGGAAAGTAAAAGTTGTGGTTTCTGTATTCATGTAGCATGCTTGCCATTTGCCTGTTTCTCCTTACTGTATTAATCCAATCCATTCATTCCTTTCTTCTGCTTTGCTCTGCAAAAGGGCCCGACTCCTAAAAGCCCCGTTTTTAAGGCTCCTTTACCCATTGGCTGCTAGGCTTGGTCACAAAAAGGTTAAGATATTGAGGTTGGGAGGCCAAGAGTCTCTGTCTACGTGGGTATTAAAACCAGAACCAGACAGTAAAGTAGAAACACTTTATTCAGGAACTACTGCAATGAGGAAGACGGACCTCAGTATAACTGGGCTCACTTCTGAACACAGCATGGACAAGTAGGGATTCCTAGCCAAGGGGCAGGTTGGGAGTCAGTGGGTGGAAAATGACTAAGAAAACATTAGGAATAAAAGGAGGATACAGGTTAGACATCAAGATTCTTGAAGGCAGGCTAGAATAATCAGGTAACAAGTATGAAGAATGAAGAATTTGGTCAGATAAAGGATGATGAGATATTGGGGTGGGGGATTCTTTCCCAACTATCAAGATTCTTGCTACAATGGGTTGATGCATTTATAGCAAGATAAATTTCAAGGTGGAGACTTAGAGGACTCAGAGGACACTAAGCAAATAGTAGTCAAAAAAAAGAATCTTTGTTACTAGCATCACCAGAAGTTGTCCATTTCCTGTATCCAAACAGAGCCTCTCTCCATGCTCAGATTTCATTTGGAAACTTTGGTTTTCAGGCTTCCTACCAGCTTTGTGTATAGAGTTAGGCCAATACAGAATGCAATAGAACAAGATGCAAGGACATATTCCCGAAAATGGATATTATTTAGTACTAGATTCAGCTGTGCCTGGAGATTACATATAACTAGTTTTAAAATACACAAGCCCATAAAAATACTCCCTTTTGCTTAAGTTTCTTTCACTTGCCACTGTATGAAAGTCCTAATACAATGTCTGCTAGTCCTTGAGAACAATTTGAGTTAATATAAAGCAATTTTCACTGGATCCTTGTCTCCGAAAGCCATACAAATATTTATTGTCCTGCTAGGATTCAGATTGTGAAGATGAGCAAGATAAATATGGTGCTTCTCTTTGATTGCATAATAACTAAATTTCCCCCCATCCCCCCACAAAGTTTTACCATATTCTAAAATGTTCTCTGGAGGTCTGAGCATCTTCTTCGTTGTCCTAAAATTGAAGGACACCTGATCCATTTTAATACAAGGACAGAAACTAAAATGCAAAGTGAAAACTTTGGGAGGAAAATTTTCGATAAAGTAAATCCAAAGCTTCCAGCTGTTCTTTAGGAAACCTTCCTGAGGCAGAATTCTTTAGTGCAATAAATTTAACTGTGCCACTACTGCAGGACAATTGTTCATTCTGCTTTTTGCTTTCTGGGTTCTCTGGTTCTCCACTTGCTTATGATACAATTTGACAATGGATGAGCCTCCTCTCCCTTTCAATCACTACCATAGGCCCCTAAAACTTGCTCAAGAAATGTCCAAAGTTCATGTGCTTTGGAGATGTTTAATCTTTCATGGTTGGTGACAGTAAATTTATAATCATAATGCAAGTGTGTGTGCGCGCGCGCGGCTGTGTTGTGAATATGTGCACATGATTTGTTCAAGTACATGCAGTGGCCTTTTAGTGTTATAATAGATGGTCACACTAGTTGCTATGGAAACAACCAAATTTCCTGACTTTTGAGGGCAGGAAGATGCAGTAGTGGCAACTGTGACCAGATATTGATAATAAAATCTAAGACTTAAAAGTAAGGGATTTTCTATTTTACGTTCAGGTCAGAGCAATCTGCTCTTTCCCCGTACCAAGAATATCCATCGGGGCTGGGCACAGTGGCTCATGTCTGTAACCCCAGCACTTTGGGAAGCTGACGCGGGTGGATCTTGAGGTCAGGAGTTCACCATCTCTACTAAAATACAAAAAATTAGCCCAGTGTGGTGGTACGCACCTATAGTCCCGGCTACTCAGGAGGCTGAGGCAGGGAAATCACTTGAACCTGGAAGGCAGAGGTTGCAGTGAGCCGAGATTGCGTCACTGCACTCCAACCTGGTGATGGAACAAGACTCCATCTCCCTCCACCCAAAAAAGAAGAATACCCATCGTAACCAGGCTGAAGGCATACTAGTATTCCTTTTGTGATTATTCTAGAGACGGGGTTCTCGCTTTGTTGTGCAGGCTGGCAAGCGGTGGTGTGCTCACTGCAGCCTCAACCTCATAGGCTCAACTGACCCTCCCACTTCAGCTTCCCAAATATCTGGAACCCCCAGCCATGTACCACCACGCCCAAGCTACTTTTTATGTTTGTAGAGATGGGGTCTTACTATATGTATCTCCCAGGCTTGTATCAAACTGCTGGCCTCAAGTGATCCTCTCGCCTCGGCCCCACAAAGCGTTGGGATTACAGGTGTGCGCCACAGTGCCCAGCCTGATCATTGCTTCATACTCAGTTTATTATGGATACTGGATGAGGGGATATAGTAATTCTTGGTTACATTTGGTATTTTTTATGTAGTATGAAATCATGCTTTTTCACAACGGAACATATTTAGATCCAGGCTAATATCTACACAAGACAATGTTGCTTAAACTAAGACAGCAAACTTATGCTTTCATTTGAAATGTGATACCTTGAGATTTTCATTCAACTAGCTAGCACAAGCTGTTGAGTCAAATGAAGCACATTTAATACATTCTCTGATCAGAAGGGAACATTTTCTAGAACCCCCGTCTACTGGGAAGCTTTCTCGTAGCTTCCTGTACAGCACTAGTTTTGCATTGTTAAAGTTTGGAAAATGCACCAAATGAGAAGCTCGTCTATTTGTGTTTATTCGATTCATTCCACATGTCAGGGCATTGGGAGTGGAGTCATTGTCTTGATACTTAATGAGAGTGCTCTGTGCCCAGCAGTGTTAAGCTGCATGGATATGGCGATGGATAGGGAATGATTCCTGCTCCCAAGAACCTGTTTAACCACACAAGGAGAATATATGTAGTGACTGCTCATTGCACGGGGAAAGCACAGGAGCAAGGTCAAGAAAGCAGCTAAATACCGAAGTTATTCTTTTGAGCCCAATGAGATAGGCAGAGGAAGGTGAAAGGGAAGAAAAAGTTAGGATGGGACCTGATGGGAGGGCAGACCTAGGAAAGAATGCAGATGTTTAGTGGCAGTAAACTTGACAGCTTATAGACTGCATATATTCTTTGGAAAGTGTCAAGTATCCTAAAATAGATTCAAGCAAATGGTCTAAGACAAGACATAGATGAGACATGATGTTGTGGTTCAGGGAAATTGAGTATATCAGGCCCACTGAGGAGCACAGGATCTAGTATTTTCTGGATACGAAGATGCTTTGGGAGTTGTCAGGGCTGTGAATGATCGATTGGGCAATCTTGGCTTTTGTAGACACTAGATGACACTGAGGACAACGGCTTCAACTTTGACGATTTGAGGTCAAAGGTCCTGTAATTGTGATAAACAGTAAATTATCACCTACTTCTTAAGGGTAACAAGTCAGTAAACGCAAACGGAATTTTGTTGCAAATGAAACCAACAGGAGACAAACACAAAAGACCTTGTAGGATTACAGCTGATATTTTGAGGTAGTGAAAACTTGTTGGGAATTGTTTACTTCTTCCGTAGCTCTTTTTCCCTGGGGTTTTATCCCCGGGTTATGTCAGATCTAGGCTTTTCAAATGGATATGAAAAAGAGGGTCTTAAAACCTAATTATTTTGCTTATGAAATTGTGTAACATATAAATGTGTCTTTTTTGGCCAATGGAAAGATTTGAGTTATACAGTTTTATTCATACTGAAAAGCTGGCCCACCGAGATATCAGTGATAACATGGTCTTCTCAGCTTCTCAATACTCAGTAAAACTGCAAAAATGGATTTTGGCATTGTCAACTCTGAGGTTTCCTTTGATAACACTATGGGCACTGTGTATCTCAAAGTCAATGTACACTGTATCTGATGTAAGACAGTCAAAGTGACATGTACATTTAGCACAGGTAGAATATATACATGGTGTGCATGTGTTTTGCTTTTAAAAATCAAGTGTTTTCTGGAGTTGAACAGTCTTGTAATCTTTTTCTTCTTTTTCAAAAGGATCTTCTTAAAAAGTGCTACTCTGCCAAGGCATCTTACCTCTTCCAGCAGGATAAATTCTACGATGTAAGCTATGACACAGGAGACAAGTCTATCCAATGCAGCAGAAGACCAGATGCATTCAAGTTCTGGATGACCTGGAAGGCCCTGGGTACATTAGGCCTTGAAGAAAGAGTTAATCGTGCTCTGGCTTTATCTAGGTACTGGCCCCTGTGTGCACGTTTGTGTCTATAATAGAATAAGGAAAGTAACACTTGCGATGTGTTGCAAGCGCATCTTTTGTGTATTAGGCGAAATAAAGAATGCACATTTTCTCAGTACTATGTGTTAGGAATCAGAGTAGTCCTACCACCTCCCTCCAAGATCCCAGTCTACTGAGAGAAAAATGACCCTCCTTTTTGGCAAGGTGAGGTATAGTCTCTATGACCACTGGGAGGGCTCTCTAGTGTGTTCTTGAGGGGCACTGGCAGAGGTTCCAAGGAGGACGTGACTTTCAACTGAGACCTAAAGAGGTGGTGGTATCATATTTGGCTGTGTCCCCACCCAAATCTCATCTTGAATTGTTCTTCCATAATTCCTATGTGTTGTCGGAGGGACCTGGTGAGAGGTAGTTTGAATTCTGGGGGCAGTTTCTGCCATGCTGCTCTGTGATTAGTAAGTCTCACAAGATCCGATGGTTTTGTCAGGGGTTTCCGCCTTTGCCATTTTCCTCATTTTCTCTTGCCACTACCATACAAGTGTCTTTCACGTCTCACCATGATCCTGAGGCCTCCCCAGCCATGGAGAACTGTAAGTCCAATTCAAACCAGTCTCGGATATATGTGTTAGCATGAAATATATCAGCAGCATGAAAATGGACCAGTACAGTCAATTAGTACCAGTAAGATGGGGTGCTGCTGAAAAAAGCCTAAGAGGCAGAGGTTGGAACAGTTTAGAGGGCTCAGAAGACAACAAAATGTGGCAAAGTTTGGAACCACCTAGAGACTTGAATGACTGACAAAAAAGCCAATAGTGGTATGAACAATCAGGTCCAGGCTGAGGTGGTCTCCGATGGAGATGAGAAACTTGTTGGAAACTGGAACAAAGGGGCCTCTTGTTACGTTTTAGTAAAGCGCCTGCTGGCATTCTGCCCCTATCCTAGAGATTTGTGGAACTTTGAACTTGAGAGATTTAGGGTATTTTAAGAAATTAAGTGGCAAAGCAGTCAAAAGGTGATTTGGGTGCTATTAGAAGCATTATTTTAAAAGGGAAACAGCATCAAAGTTCAGAAAATTTGCAGCCTGATGCAGTTGAAAGGAAAACCCAGTTTTTAAGAAATTCAAGCAGGCTGCAGAAATTTGCACAAGTAACAAGGAGCTGAGTAATCCTCGAGACCATGGGGGAAAATGTCTCCAGCGCATGTCACGGGTCTTCATGGCAGCCCCTCCCAACACAGACCAGAAGCTTAGGAGGAAAAATGATTTCATGTGCTGAGGCCCAGGGTCCCATGTGGTGTGCACGCTACCGACTTGGTGCCGAGCCTCAGCTGCTCCAGCCATTGCTAAAAGGGGCCACGGTACATACAGCTCAGCCCATGGTTTTAGTGGGTACAAACCCAAAACCTTGGCAGCTTCCATGTGGTGTTGAGCCTGTGGGAGCACAGAAGTCAAGAATTGAGGTTTGGGAACCTCCACCTAGGTTTTAGAAGATGTATGGAAACACCCAGATGCCCAGGCAAAATTTTACTGCAGGGGCAGGGCCTTCATGGAGAACCTCTGCTAGGGCAGTGCAGAAAGAAACTATGGGGTCGGATCCCCCACACAATGTACCTAACTTGGGTACTGCCTAGTGGAGCTGTGAAAAGAGTCAATGTCTTCCAGACCCCAGAAAGGGAAATCCACACACAGCTTACACTGTGCTCCTGGAAAAGCTGCAGACTCAGCAGCAGCCAATGAAAGCAGCTGGGAGGGAGGGGCTGTACCCTGCAAAGCCACAGGGTGGAGCGGCCCAGGACTATGAAGAGGTAGGTTCCCATCAGCATGACCTGGATGTGACACATGGAGTCAAATGATCATTTTGGAGCCTTAGAACTTGACTGCCCTGCTGGAATTCAGACTTGTGTGGGCCTGGTAACCCCTTTGTTTTGGCTGATTTCTCCCGTTTTGAATGGCTGTATTTACCCAGTAAAGAGGTTTAGAGGGAGCCCCTCTAAATGATATGGTTTGGCTGTGTCCTCTTCTCAAATCTCACCTTGCATCATACTCCCATAATTCCCATGCGTTGTGGGAGGGACCTGGTGGGAGACAATTTCAATCATGGCGGTTTCCCCCATACTGCCGTCATGGTGGAGTGTAAGTCTCCTGAGCTTTGATGGTTTTATCAGAGGTTTCTGCTTCTACATCTTATTTTTCTCTTGCTGCTGCCATGTAAGAAGTGCTTTCCCCTCCACCATGATTCTAAGGCCTACCCCAGCCATGTGGAACTGTAATTTCAATTAAGCCTTTCTCTTCCTAGTCTCGGGTATGTGTAAGCAGCATAATAGACCACAGAAGGGGAGAAGAATGACCCAGGTGAAAGGAGCAGCAGGCCCAAATCTGATGTGAGGTGACAAAAGCCTGGATGTGACATTAAGGACATGAAAAGCAGATCTGAGTTGTGGTAACAAGTCTTAAAGGAAAAGGCAGTGTGGAAGCACCATGTTTACCTGTCTGGTAGTAATATCAGAAACGAAACTGGTCACACGTTCAAGGGCATTAGAAAGCTTGAGATGTCGGTGCCAAACCTTGCTACTTGAATAGGACTGAACTACTAAACTTAGCTTGGTGGTAGACAGGCCATAGCCAAATTTAGTTTTAAGTGTGTTTTGTTGGGCTTATACCGCTTCGGGTTAAGCTTCATGGTGTTAAACATTCCAACATTTAAATATTCAAATGCTTTTTCAAGAAAAAATTTCTTGAAAACCTACATTTTTTGCTTATCTCAAAAGCTTAGAATGCTCTCAATCTCACAGTAACAATTAGCTGAACGTGGTGCCCGACTGTGTGGAGAAACAGTTGCTATCACTTCTTACAGTTAAAAAACCCAATCTAGCCTAATAGCATAGAGGTACAGACAACCTGGATTCAAGACCTAAGTCCTGTCTGACTCTGCCAAGTTTTAGTGTCTCTGCACCTCAGTTTCATCCCAGGAAAATAGCACATATCTGGAGCAGTTAAAGAGTCAAGTAACTGATAACATGTAAGACCCTTGGATCAATGCCTGGCATGTCCTATATGCTATTTAAGTCTTATTTATGTAGAGCTTGGCCAGTTTAGACTTTGAACTCTGGCGTGGATCGTCTTTCCTTACTTCCTGCTAACGTTTCCGTGGAAAATCATGAGGGACCTTCTTAGAGATTTATAGCAATTTCTTCTTTCTATGCTGGAAGTGGTATGTGTATTCTGAGCAACAAGCTGTCTGCAAACTAATGTCTTAAAACAATTGTTTTCCCCACGGAGGTCTAAATGTTGGCTAACAGTGCCAATTCCTTTTATAGAATGTCTTCTGAGCCTAGATGAGGAAGGTACCTTTGTTAGAGGTAGGGTTAAAGTACTTCTATTAGAAGTGGGGAGATAACCCAGCCGTGAAAAGACAGTCTATGGTCTACCATAAAATTTATAGCTGCCCACTGAATTAGAAGTCCAAGAAGTTACGTTTTTGTGGATTTCCTTGCACTATTTACATGGGGTAGAGTCTGCATTATTTTGTCTAAGCTTTGAAATAATCCAATGGGGGGTGTCTTGAAATAAGGTTATAAATATTTTATGATTGTATTTATAATAAAGTTAACATTCATCTCAGGGTAGAATTGAGTTTACAATCTAAGAATGCTTTCTAATTTTTGTGGAGAAATCACAGGAGGATAAATGTTAACATTTCAAATTCAATTCAACAAGCACTTATTGTTTGTAAATGTTTGTCAAGTTGAATTAACATTTTAGTGAGCACTGGTGCAGACTGCGACCTATATTTAAATATTTGAAAAATAATCCCTCCTTTCCTGCTGTTACTCATACTTTTTTTTCGCCTTAACTTTCCACTCTTGATATCCAACAGTTTCTTCCTGGGGTGGGCAAAAGTCTGCCTCCAATGCCAAGAAAAAGGGCAAAGCACTTTGAGGCATGCAATTTGCTATGAATGTGAAGTTACAAACCTGGGGAGAGTTTCTCTAGAAATTAGCTTAGCAACAGAAGAGCTACATTTTTATGATTTTTCAAGTTACCGATTTGTAGTTCTGCTTTTTAGCAATGGCAGAATATTCGCTTAATTCTGGGGTCTCTTCTGTTTGCTTAAGCCTAGATGCAGTGGTACGATGTACACTTTGGCTCTCAGAAGGAAAATAAAGTCCCAGTTTGTACTGTCTGCCAGTTTTCATGGTGTATTTCTGGCATGGTAAATTGTAAGCCACCAATGGTCGTAGTTTATGAAATCCCCGAATATTTCACAGTGGACTCTCAACCGCTGCAAACTAGCTCTCGTCCACTACTGGTTTTGTGAGCTGTCATCTAAACTCTTCCAGTCAGTGTTTTTAACCGATCATGCTACTTCACATCAGCTCAAAACGCTGACAGGGATGAAGATATTTCCCATGAAGCCCCCTGATGCCTGGCAACTTGCTTGAGTTTACCAAATCAAAAGCGTGTCACCCATGGATGGAAGCCTCCTGGAATAATTTCTAAGTCACAGCAACATTGTTTCACTTCCAAGAAGTGTAACTTCCTTCAGTAGGTAACTCTAGAAAAGTAAAGCTGCACATGATGATCGTGTTAATATTTGGGGAGCACATTACTGGCATGCTCTTATAGCTAAAATATCCACTTCCCTAGGCCCTAGGTCAGGGTCTCTAAAATACTGGAAAAGCTATGAGATTCTTCCTTTGATAATACAGGAAGAATAACACTGATTCCATAGAAATAAGGTTTCCATATTCCCAAATCTAAATGGAACTCAATTTTGAAATTTTTGCGACTAAGATCTAAGGACAAGATTTTGATAGACTAATGATGATCACTACACTGATTAGATAGCCCTCTTCCTCTTCCCCTGGGAAAGAGCTTTCAAGAGGACACTTTCAAGAGGACAATGATTCCAATTTTATAGGTTGTCGAATTTAGCAAGAAGGAAAAAATTAGTGCCTCGGAGACCTCTAAGGCTTTTCCTAATTTCCATTTGACCCTGTCAA